TAACCTCTTTAAAACCAGAAAATTTGGGAATTCCCTGGCGGTCCAGTGGTTAGGACTCCCGCGCCCCACCACAGCAGGGGGCACATGTTTGATCCCTGGCTGGGGAACTAAGATCCCATATGCCTCAGGGCAACTAAGCCCGCTCGCTCTAGAGCCCACGTACCACAATTAGAAGCCCAGTGCCACAACAAAGAGCCTGCATGCCGCAACTAAGACCCAATGCAGCCAAATAAAATAAATATTAAAAAAAAAAAAAACCACTAGGAGCTGTAACTTTTTCTCCATCTGGAAGCAAATATCACTGAGTAGCTATAGATACTAGGATGTGTCCCTTCCCTAAAATCCCTGAAGCACTTCCTACATTTGCCATTTATCTCATCTAATCCTGTATTCACAGCTTTTTGTATTGTGATGTGACTATGAAATAAGTGATCTGTTACAATACACAGGTCTCCTATCCATTGGTTTCAACATCCACCTCAATCTAATAGGGCTAAGGACTAATTTCACCTTTCTCTCTTTACCAAAAGAGTGCTTTGAACTATTAAATAGCCATTGAGAAAACAGGAATAATCTAAAACTTGGATAATTAATTCCTAAATAATCAAAAAACAGATTAACCCTGCAGTCTAAACCTTTGTGATTGCATTTGGAAATACTACATTACTCCTACTCGAATTATTTTAATATTTCTACTATCAAGGCAATATCTTGAAAGAAAGAATGGACTGAGCATTTGCTCACCAAATCCCAAAACACTGGAATCTTAAGTGTAAGAAAGTCTACTTCAATAAAAAGGAATTACTACCTTACAAGACAAATAGCAAACTCACAAACCCTGCATTACATCAAGCATTTATAAAACAAAAAATAATGGAAATAATTTCCTTAAGTCATTTCCAAACTATCACTGCCTCAAGACAAAACAAGAGAATGCTCAATGACTTTCCTTAATCTTTTTTTTTGATAAGCAGTATAGTGGAATGATAGAGCTGGAGATCTGAAACCAGATATCCTGGGTTCACATCCTAGCTCTTCCCCTTGCTGTGTGACCATGAGCAAGTTATTAATTGCTCTGTGCTTCAGGTTTCCTCATTTTCCTCTTCTGTAAAATGGTACCAATGGTACCAATACATACCTGCCTCATAGGACTCTTGTGCAGCATGAATGTGTATCATTCAGGAAACTGCCTGCAGCATGCATACTTTTAGTAAGTATTCAAAGGATACAAGTGATTTGGTTATCTGACCCTTGCAGAAACATATATTTCAAACTGCTGCTTAATTTGAAGATTCAATGTATTGTAGCAAAACATATATCATTTCAGTAACTGGACCTTTGGAAGTAGTAAAGGAGAGGAATGAGATTAATTGGAGAAGAAGAGAAGAATCTGATCGCGCTGCTTTTGCGTTACAAGAGTACCTGCTTTATCTTCCAAGTAAAAGCTTGCTATGGAATGCTCAGCCTTCCATTCTGGTCAAACCTGATATAAGGTAAAGGTTGAGCTTGCTTGAAAACTTTTAGATTTTCAGTAGCTCACACAAATTGAGAAAAACCTTTCTCAGTTCTTTCCCAATCTTTAGCATGGTTAGGCAGACAGTACCCAGTGCTGAAACATTTGTCATTTGTGAGAAGCACTACAGTGATTAGGAATAAAGGCATCAGATGCCAGGTTAGAACTCTGGCTCTGCTTCTTGGCTGTGTAACCTTTGGCAAGTTACTTAACTTCTCCACCTCACGGTCCTTATCTGTAAAATCTGGATAATAATAGCTGTTATCTCGTAGGGTTGTTGGGAGGACTAAATGAGTTAATTCATGTAAAGCTCTTAGGACAGGGCCCAACGGAGTAAGCACCAAAAAATGTTATGATTCTTATTCAAATCGGTCAGTGTAAACATTTCCCTGGTATTGATGACATTAACTGTATAAAAATATATCTTGATCTCACCCAGAAAAGAAGAAAAATAATCCTAATTTCTAATTTTCCATGTTTTAGTTAACTTGTATTGTTACCAGACATGAGGTAGTAAGTACAAAGGAGGCAAAGGAGGCAGTACAGGGATCACATCTTCATGCAATTAACCTAACGTCTGAAGACTGGACCCTAGGCAGAAAAGAAAATCAGGACGATGACTTGAGAGCATCTTTTAGATGTCACACATCTGACAGGGACTGCCTTAAGTATTTTCACTGAACACCTTGTTTTTATCTTCTATGTGTTAGATTTCTCAACTTTCAAACAGTCTCTTCCCAAGTAGTTTAAAAAAAAAAAAAGTTGCATGACTAATTCTAGCTAATTAATAATGCCAGTAGCATTACCAAAACGAAGAACACATTTTGCTTCTCAAGACAGCCATCACCTCAATAATTTTATACCAATTTCTCACAAGCTGATAGCAAGCAAGTATAAATAGCTGGCTTAGCTACAACAGGATGAACTGGTGTTTTAGTCTGAAGAATTTTAAAGCAAGCCAAGTAATTGTATAAAATTTAAATTTTATGACCATGTTTGGACCTTTTTACATTAAACACAATGGAAATGTTCATTTTTTCCCCAAAGGAAAAATTTCTGAATCATCACTATGTTGCACAGTAGAATAAAAATATGAATCCAGGTACTTATTCAAGTTTCTAAAGAATGCAAATAACAGATAAAATTTTACTTCCAAAATCTGAAGTCATCAACATGATTTTGTAGTACTGTATCACAGGCTTTACCTAAAAATTCAATATTCAGATAAAGATAGTCCCCTAGTCACATTCTTTAAAAAGCCTCTGCCCCACCACAGCTTCCTGATATCTGTGAAGAAACTGCAGTCTTGTGATCAGGCTTCATACAGTACTGGCAGTTTTGTACTTGTAAGGAAAAAATAGTGACTGATTTTACGTGTCAATCAGTTGTAGTCTGCTGATCTGATTAGAAGCCTTGACAAATGCCTGGTGGCGATTGCATATAACTGCCAAGCATATGGGAATAATACAGTAGCCCATCGTTTTGGGGTCAGCTCTTGTACAAGAATAAAGGAACAAAAACATCTGCAAGTAAGGTATCAGAAAAATAACTGTCCAAAACCAGAAAGGCAGGGAGAGTAACCGAGCTTTCAAGAAGTGTGTCCATGTGGTTCCTTCAAGGGGCTCCTCTGGGTGCTGCTGAATGTGTTCCAAGGCCAGCCTATTGTAAGTCTCGTTGATTTCAAAAACATAGTAAAATGCTGCTGCACTTGCTAACAGATACAATCCCACTCCAATCCATCCCATACGCTGGCGGAAGTTCATCATTCTCCATGCTCTGTGCCTTTGAGTTAAAACAACAATAACAACACAGTGAGGGTCTAGTAATGCTGTCATGTCAACTATTCCAAATGTACTTACTTTTTGTCCAGTGAGCTCTAAAATACTCCCTAACACATTTGAGGTTTAAAATAACTAAATTAAATTTACATCTATTAAGAAACATAAACATCTTACAGGTTGTTTTATGTAATAGTTATGCGGAAGTAAAGTTTCAGTATATACTGTGTGCTTTTTACTGAATCCCACAGATAGATAAATCACTAAATCTGGCTTAAATAGGTCCAGCACACGTTCCCTTAAATTGTAATTAAACTAGTTCCCTAGGGAACATTTCACTTCTATACTTCAAATACCTTCTGAATTAACAGTATTGCTTCAGACATGAAAACTTGGTTCTACAAGTCAAACCAATATCGGAGCCCCCAAGTTAAGACAGCAACTCTTAAACACTTACAGTGGTCCCGAAAATCTTCCTGTTCCCACGTCAAGCGTTAAAGAGTCACTCAGCTCTGCATAATCGGGTGGCTTTGGCATTTCAGAGAAAGCCACCATAAAAGAAAAATCCCCGGGGTCACCGGCTGGGAGAATGGTGCGCACGGCCAGCCTGGAGCAAAAGCTAATTGTGATTAAGCACAGCGTGACTGCAGCCGGTCACACGGCGGCCCGGCCCCTGTCGCCGCTGCCGGAGCCCCAGCCTGTGTCACTCGGCCCAGCCGGGAGACTCCGCAGCCACCCTGGCCTCCCCTGCAGCCGGCCCCGCCCCCTGTCGTGCTGCAGCGCCCGCCGCCGCGACAGGGCTGCGCGGACGGCGCCAGACCCGGGCCTCTCCGCCTTGCAGCACCGGGAGCCCAGTGCCCGGCAGCGGCCACAGGCCGAGCCTGCCGAGCTGGGCAGGTCCCGGATCTCACCTCCTGTCCCGGTTGGCTCGCCCGCCCGCCGTCCCGGATGCTGCCCAGTCGGGGCTTCCGGCTCGGGCCGGAAGCGCGCTTGCCCCGCCCCCCGAAAGGCCCGCCCCCTCGTGACGTAGGGAGCCTCCGCCGCGGCACCGCCTCCCCGAGCGCGCCCGGAGCAGCTCTGCTGGAACTCGGGGGAGGCTACGGAGGCGCCGGTTGTAGCGCTACCCTTCAGGTGGGCGGCAGTCTGGGCCTGGCCGCTTCAGCGCTCCTCAAAGCCTGGTGCTTCGCTCGCGGCTCTGATCGCCCCCGTCGTTCCTCGCCGCGGAGAGCACCGCGGCAACTGGCGGTCAGCCATCCCCCGGCGCGTCTCTGCGCAGTTCGGGTATCCCGCTCGAGTGTCCATCCGAGTGCAGGAGAAGCCGCTCTCCCGCTCCTCGGACCTGGCCGCCCGGGAAGCGTCGGGAGCAGGCCCTGGCGCCTCGGCCACCGGCGACGGACCCAGACATGACTACTAGATAACTGAGAGGTGAAGTGGGACCCCGCTGTCTGCTGCGGGGCGCCCGAGGCCGGGAGAGGGTAAGGTGGCTGCTTGCCGCCGTGCGGCCGGCCGCCGGCGCGGGTGCGCGGGGCTTCTCCGGGCTCGGGTTATTCATTTACAACTTGAACTAACGTGACTACTTCATCTTCACTGCCCGTCGGAACTGCAGACGTTGACGAGACTTAACTCGGTTACCGTGGAGGAATACTGTGAATTGCAGTGGCATCAGTGGCCGGGACAAATTGGAATTTAAATGTGTTGTTTTGGGCATCATGACGCTGAGGCTCTTAGAAGACTGGTGTAGGGGGATGGATGTAAACCCGCGGAAAACGCTGTTGATTGCCGACATCCCCCAGACCTGTAAAGGGCAGAAATTGAGGAGGCTCTGCGATCTGGTTTTGCTCCCTTGAGCGAGTACCGACTGCTCGGGAGGATGTTCCGGAGGGAAGAGAACAGGAATGCAACCTTAATAGGACTTAACTGAGGAGACGAGTCATGCTCTGGTCCCTAAAGAGATACCCGGAAGCGGGGGTGCCTGGAGAGTGATCTTTAAGACCCCTGACCCAGACAATGAATTTTTAAGCAGGTTACATGAATTCCTAGAGGGAGAGGGCGTGACATTGGGTGAGTTTACCAGAGCTCTTGGGTATGGAAACGACCTTTTTGACCTAGACCAGGACATGATCCCAGAAGTGCGGGCCCCTATGTTGGCACAGGCATTAGATGAGGCTCTTCAGCCTGCCCTGCAACACCTGGAATACAAAAAGCTGAGAGTATTCTCAGGCAGTGATCCTCCAGAGCCAGAAGAAGAAGAGTTTGAATCCTGGCTGTTTCACGCCACTCAGATGATGAAGACATGGCAGGTGTCAGATGCCGAAAAAAGGCGGCGATTGCTAGAGAGCCTTAGAGGCCCGGCATCAGATATCATTCGCGTCCTCAAGATAAACAGTCCTTTAATTACAGCCCCTGAATGCCTGCATGCTCTGGAGCAGGTATTTGGGGTTACCGATAATCCTAGGGTGTTGCAGGTCAAATATCTGACCACTTACCAGAAGGATGAAAAGAAATTGTCTGTGTATGTACTAAGGCTGGAGCCTTCACTACAGAAACTGGTATAGAGGGGAGCAGTTGAGCAAGAAGTTGTGAATCAGGCCCGCCTGGAGCAAGCCGTTGCTGGAGCAGTCCACAGCACACCTTGCAGGAAGTTTGCTCTGTCAGAGGACGGCTCAGCCCCTGGATTATTGCAGTTACTGACACTAATAAAGGATGAAGAGGCAGGTGAGGAGGAGGCGGCCCTCCTCCAGGCAGGATTAGAGGGGCATTTCACCTGAATCTTGGGAAATCAGGAAGGGCTCTCTGGCAGTGAGCAGAGCATAAGGTAGAACAGTCTGTATCCTCAGTGACAGACATTAACCAATCCCTATCCTGTGTTGCCAAGTAACTCATTTTTGTGCAGTTCTCAGTATAATCCTTTGTCATTTCTGTGCCCATTTAATGTCTCCTAAATGTGTCATTGACTAGAAGGATGTAGTTCTGCACTGGTATTTATATATTTAAATTCACCCTGTGTTTTTTTTTTTTATCACAAACAGTAGTACAAAAAGTCTCATCACTACGCACATGTGATACTCTGAGAGGACAGCCAGGGCTCAGGTGCACATGCTGATCCGATCTCGTTCAGATGTCAGCTTGTGTGATAATAGGTGCAAGTGTAGCTGTCAGATGTGATAATGTGTCATAGATAGTTTGGGGTTGTGTACGGCCCTACATTAATCATGAAGATCGTAAGCAGGGGTTAAGAGGTTATTTTCTGTGTGAATCGGAATTGTATTGATTCTATGCCATCAAAACAAGAGGCAGAATTAAATGCTGCAGTTGGTCAGTTTGCAGCTGCTACCTCTAACCCCAGATTTCTGATGTGTTTCTCAAAGCATCTAGTTCTGAATATCATTTTAATAGGTTACAAAAGTATAGATGTGAACTTATAAAGAAATGTGGATAAAATGACCTTTTTACCTAGTTTGTTTGTATCAAGGTTCCAAGGGAGATTTCACTTGAACAAAGGGTTCCAAAAGCATGAATCTGAAAACCACTGAACTTGCGCAGTCTTAGTCCCTTGGACACTTTCCTCCTGGTGCCCAGGTGGGTAGGGAGTAGTTTTCTAAGTGAGAGTGCTGGCAGGGCCTTCTCCTGAAGTACAATAGAATGAAATGAGACTGTATAAATTAGTGCAAGTAGCAGGTTCAAAGGCATCAGGGCGTTGAATCTGGAGGGCGAAAAGAAAGACAGGAACATCGAACGGCAGACTGGACTAAATGTTCCATGTACTTCCTCACTTAATCCTTTTAAAAATCCTGCAATATAAGAAAACAGCTAGTTTCAGAATTCTGTCATCTGCCTTACTGCAAGGCCAGTGTTCTTTCCATTGCTAAGAAAGAGAAGCAATCCTAAGGGTGTCTGGACCCAGCCTCACAAGGGAAGCAGGGCAGATTGTTAAAAACATTTAATAAATGAACTATTAGTATGCGTTAGTGTGGACTACATCTTAATCACTACTGCAAACTGGACACTAAGAAGTGGGGAGTATGAGAACCTGTAAGACCCACGGGCAGCAGGGAGGGTGGACATGGGTTAGTGATTTGGTCTCTAAAAAAAAAAAAAAATGCAAACATGAAGAAAAAATGAAAATTGCTGAAAAATCAGACTGAAAGTCTTTATCTTTAATTAAAAATACCCCCAAAGAACCAATTCTGGGATATATGTTTTTGGTTTAGATTCGAAGCCGTAGTATAATGTTTCTGTTATGACTAAATGTCATGGTTTCATTCTTTATAAGTTCCCATAATTTCTCACACTATGGAAGGTTAAATACACATCAAACCATCATGTTGTACCCCTTAAATGTATATAATTTTAACTTGTCAGTTACACTTCGATAAAGGTGAGGAAAGAGAAGCTAAATACTAGATGACATATGGATAAATTCAAAGATGTAATTCCGATCTTGTTTATATGCATATAGTCATTTATTTGCCACCTTAGTAGTAAGAAGTGTTATTAACCGCATTTTGCTGATAAACACACTGTGAATGTGTGCACACATGGGTGTTTATAAATGTTGCACCTCGAGGCTTCCCTGGTGGCACAGTGGTTAAGAATCTGCCTGCCAATGCAGGGGACATGGGTTCGAGCCCTGGTCTGGGAAGATCCCACATGCCTCGGAGCAGCTAAGCCCGAGCACCATAACTACTGAGCTTGCACTCTAGAGCCCGCGACCCACAACTACTGAAGCCCGCATGCCTAGAGCCCGTGCTCCACAAGAGAAGCCACTGCAATGAGAAGCCCCCGCACCGGAGCGAAGAGTAGTCCCTGCTCGCTGCAACTAGAGAAAGCCCGCGCGCAGCAACAAAGACCCAACGCAGCCAAAAAAAATTAATTAATTAGAAAAAAAGTGTTGCACCTCTCCTGTATGTGAGGCACTGAGATGGGGGGTGGGGGGGCAGGGGAGTAGATTGTATAATTAAATTTAGGTTGTAAGCCCTGCCATGGAAGTCTACCCAGAGTCAACAATAATAGCTGACACTGAGCATTTGCTATGGAATGAGCGCTGAGCACCACTGAATGCATTTGGTCCTCCAACAATAGTGAGAAGCAAGGCCTTTTGGTTTCCCATTTTACAGATGAAACTGTGGCACAGAGATGTTAAGTAACTTGCCCAGGGTTTCCTAACTAAATCCTTCCAGGGTCAGGATTTATACTCAGGCCATCTATTTCCAGAGTCCTTGCTGTTAATCTACTCTATGCTGCTGTGTTAAATTCTGTGAAAAACATACCATCATGTCCTCCCTTTTCTGGATGAGAGGATTGAGGAGCAAAGATTCAGTGGCGCCGGGGCGTGGGGGGCACGTAGTCCGACTCCAGAGAGCTTTTCTTAAGGTGTCCTGGCATATGCATCTGGTAAACACAACATAATTGTAAAAAATGGCAGTTATGTTTATGAAATCAGGTGAAGTAATAAAACATGTTCTTTATAAGCTATGTTTCAAAAATGTAAATGGCAAACAGATCACTAAAACACCAGTTGTGTTGGGATGATGGGACTATAAGAGTAATTTAGTTTTCTTTTGTTTCCTAAATGTGTTTTTTTTTATATTAAAAATAAATATGCAAAAGAAGTGCTCATAAAGCAAAAATCAGTTGACACATCAAAGGAACACAGGAGCAAGCCTGAAAGAGCTCCCACTGGCGAAAGCTACAATTTGAGGAAGAAAATGGATAGTGTAGTATTGGGTTGTAACCCAAAGTATAAAATAAATATCCATGAGTTCATTATGATATAAGTAAATGTGGGAGAAGAGTCCAGTTTTCCTTACAGAAGAATTTCAAATCATTAGTGTGGCTATTTCCCCCTTTAGGAGTTGGAGTTTATTCCTGTCCCCCTTCAAGGTGTGGGCTGAATTCAGACATAGAGTATGGAAAGGAAAAATAGTAACTTTTCAGTGAACAAACGTGGCAAGGACTACCTTGCTAGGACAAGGTTAATATCAGTGATCAGTCACGTTGATGGCACGTATTCCTGGTAACGATGCAATGACAAGGGCACTTTATTTCCTCAGAACCCATAACCCAGTCTAGTTATGAGAAAAACACCAGACAAACCCACATTGAGGGACATTCTACAAAATACATAACCAACACTCCTTAAAACTGTCAAGATCATGAAAAACAAGACTGAGAAACTGTCACAGACCAAAGGAGAGTAGGGAGACCTGGTAACTAAATGTAATGTGGTATTCTGGCAGGGATTTTGGAGCAAAAGACCTTAATAGAGAAATGAAATCTGAATATGGTCTAGAGTTTAGTTAATAGTAACATATCAATGTTAGTTTCTTGGAGGTGACAAATTACTAAGGTAATGAAAGATGTTTAGGGGCTTCCCTGGTGGCGTAGTTGTTAAGAATCCGCCTGCCAATGCGGGAGACGGGTTCGAGCCCTGGTCCGGGAAGATCCCACATGCCGCGGAGCAAATAAGTCCGTGCGCCACAACTACTGAGCCTGCACTCTAGAGCCCACGAGCCACAGCTACTGAACCCGTGTGCCACAACTACTGAAGCCCATGCGCCTAGAGCCCATGCTTTGCAACAAGACAAGCCACTGCAATGAGAAGCCTGTGCACCGCAACAAAGAGTAGCTTCCACTCGCCACAACTAGAGAAAGCCTGCATGCAGCAACGAAGACCCAACGCAGCCAAAAATAAATAAATTAATAAATAAACTTAAAAAAAAATCTTTAAAGATGTTAATAGGGGAAACGATGTGAGTATACGCAAACTCTGTACTGGGAGAGACAAATACCATATGATATCACTTATATGTGGAATCTAAAAAAAAAAACAGATACAAATGAACTTATTTACAAAACTGAAAGAGACTCACAGACTTAGAGAAAGAATTTATGGTTACCAGAGGGGAAGGGTGGCGGGGAGGGATAGTTAGGGAGTTTGGGATTGATATGTACACACTGCTGTATGTAAAATGGATAACCAACAAGGACCTACTGTACAGTACAAGGAAAAAAATACCAATAGCCAAAAGACATCAACAGCTATTTGGCTGCTCTAGTAATCAAAGAAATGCAAATAAAAATGATAAAATTCTAAAAACGAACAAAAACTCTCTGCACTATCTTTGTAACTTTTATGTAAATATAAAACTATTCTAAAATAAGATGTTCGTTGAAATATATACATAGATACTTAAACATAAATACGTACGCAAGCAGATAACAAATGGCCTGGGAATTAAGTCACTAGGGAGTGAGTAACTGGAGTGTCAGCCCTTACCCAAAATGGTTATTCATCTAAACACCACCAGGTGGCGGTAAGCACTCAGGTTAGGCCTTAGCCAGAACAAAGCAGGGAAAGGGATTATTTCTTATGTAAGTGTCGTCATACCTGCCCCCCTCAAGGACTGGAAAATTTCTCGTCTTTCTAAAATTTTATTTATTTATTTATAAAAGTTTATTTATTTATTTTTGGCTGCATTGGGTCTTCATTGCTGTGCGCGGACTTTTTCTAGTCACGGCAAGTGGTGGCTTCTCTTTGTGGAGCATGAGCTCTAGGCGCACGAGCTTCAGTAGTTGTGGCTCGCGGGCTCTAGAGCACAGGCTCAGTAGTTGTGGCGCACGGGCTTAGTTGCTCCACGGCGTGTGGGATCTTCCCGGACCAGGGCTCGAACACCATGTCTCCTGCATTAGCAGGCGGATTCTTAACCACTGCGCCACCAGGGGAGTCCTCTCAAGCCTTTATGTGGAAAAATATTTAAATACTCAA